CATTTGATCTGCACTCAGTTCTACAGGGAGTTAGTCGCGGCCCGGATAGCTCAGTGGTAACGTTTCTAACTGTGAAGCTAGGTGATATGGAATCGAATCTGTCAGGGAACATCAGTTCCCTAAAGATTACAGGTACACCTTGTTGACCAGTGCCAAAGAGCACGAAACCTAGGTTCAGGGTTTCCTGTTGACTACCTCCAATCATCATCTTATCTCAATATAGTGCACTCAATGTTGACCCACCTAGACTAGTGGCCACATTGCAACTTGGTCGATAGCATTCGATCTGCACCAAATAAGGACTTGACAAACATGATATTGATCACCACCCAGTGATCAGTCAATTGTAGAAGTTGAGCATATCAACCAATTTACTAAAGTTTGAAGTTATATTTACCTTGATTGATTGGAGCCTAATGAAACCATAGTATAAATTAAGAATGTTCAATTAGTGTTTGCCGAATGGTGCCACATGTTGTATGGATGAGTTGTCTGTCGATCAACTAAAGGACGAGTGTATTATGCAATAGTTCGTTCTGTTCTGTATTTAAAAATTGAGGATATTCATTGGTTACCAATATTTGATCACAGATCATTGATCATAGAGTACTAGGTAAAGATGGAAAATTGACTGATGAGTTAGTAAATATTCTTCAGTTGAGGTGGTTGAGATATTTGTTACGTATGCCCAACCACCGCCTACATTGATGACGGATGTCTAATGTACGAGTAAGATGAAAGAAAGCTAGGATCGGCTAAACCGAGATATAACATCAGTCCATGAAATCAGTGACAAATTAAATGAGCCATATAAATAAGTTTACACTAATAGACTGGAGTCCATATGGTTACTATAACCAACAATTGGAGAGATTGAGGGATATGGCTCAGGTTCATTTATTCCTTGTCGTCCATTAGAACTTGAATCCTGAAATTCACTTACACCTTTGCTCATTTTTTTCCTTTTTTTAACGCTCAATCTGATCATATTCAATATGCATATTATAAAAGGAGAACTAGTCATCATCTAGAAAGAATGCTAATCACAAATTTTATTGGTTCGAATCTCACGGGGTGTGGGATCGTGAATACGCACTGCTGAGGAGTCCCGTACTAGAATGAAACAGCTGCCCAGTGCTTCCAGGTTTTCCATGGTGGTCTAGCTTCAATTGACTCATGATTTCAATCAAAAACCTAACAATCTCTGCAACCCCTAAACTGATGATTGCCATACTTCATTAGCACAACAAGGTGAACACCAAGTTCATAGAAGTAGTTACTTGGATGGTAGTAATATATAAAAGGACGACTATGTATAAGGATATAAAAATACAGGAAGAAACAATTAGTTGGTAGAACGAAAGATATAAAGCAGTTTTAATCTCACAGTTTAAGGGAAGACAAAGAATGTATAGATTAATGTCATTGTGATCGATTCTGATCCATGTCAAGATTATAATTTATGGACGAATCAATTAGATTTAAGATAACTAGATGTTGAATTTTTGGAGCGAAATTCTGAAGGCCATTTTAGCATCGCTCAAATATCATCTATAAATTATAGTCTCATCGACCTGTCTCCAATCAACGTATATTCGCCAATAATATGAAATGATAATAGTTAGTGTATGATCACTTCAGTATTCATTTATTATTACACTTGCTTTTTTGGAGATAAAAAGTACTGACCATTCGATGTACAGTTCATGCAACAAAGTTCCAGAACAGTATCTTGAATTGTTGAAAAGAGTTAGAAGTAGATCCATAGGAATTTCAATAAAAGAATACTTTGTGAATATGTATTATGTCATCATAAGTGACTTATCCTTTCCAATCATGTATTAGCTGAATAGAGACAATGTTCTTCTGTCTCATTTAGATTTCTAAAGTTTTTGTCATTGGCACAGAAAGCCCAAACTGTTTTCTTAGATTCTCATATTCACTCCCTTCTCTGGTCGATTTCGATAATTTTATCTTCACTGGTGCTAATCCGTGTCAGGTAGAGACAGGTATTTACCTCAAACAATGGAAGATGGTTGCAAACGTCATTGGATTGGTTAAAATTAGATATTAACGCCGTTGGATGACAGTTCAGTGGTCTAGAGGTTAAGTGTTTGCGCGCGAGACCGATGGTCCTGAGTTGGAGTCACATGTGCAGGATCATGGATGAGCACTGCTGAGGAGTTAGTTCCATTTGTTAGTTATAGATACCCAACTATGTGGTGTGATAAATGTGTGTTTACACATGTCAAGTACTACTCAGTCCAGATAAATACAAAGTGGTATGTTCATACATCATTTCAATTTATTTACGGGATCTAATACATATTATTAGTCCTTGTGTGTTCACTATTTGTTGTCGGATTAGGGTTTTCACCACCGATCAGAAGCCAATTAAACATTCGTCTGATATAATAGTGACAGACATAACGCATACAATTTTATGCACTAGCTCGATAGTCGCCGAAATTATTGACTGAAAAGGTTTTATATAGATCAATGTAATGCGTATTTTGTATTCGTTACAGATTAATTTTAGGGTGTTGTCTGGTCTAGGAACATTCAGTAGTGAACACTCACTGCCCTATAAAATATTGGACCCAAAATCTTTAGGTTTCATGACGAAAACTGGACCATTAGAATCACTTCACCGACATTCATTAGTTCAATTCTGACTTCAATCAGTTTGCGATATAGAATGATAATCATCTAGCATACACAAACTTCACCAGTTACGAATGTTCATTAGAACTTCAAGACTATTTTGAGGAAGATTACTAATGAGATGATTATTATGGTTTGAATGAAGGAGCTTTGTGTGAGCTGATTTAACTAGCATGCTGTATATGTCCACGATTTCTGACAGTTTAATATTAAAATACATACAGATGCTTGGTTCTAGTATAGCACTCAGTAATTTTAGTCCATGACACTATCAGAGACCTAACAAAGGTCCTTCAAGTCTCTTGACAAGCGTTTAACATTTAAAGCAGTGACTGTCATCCATTGGCATGAGTTTCTAACTCTAGTCAATTCACGAGATTGGGTGATTATCATCCATTAACCATATCATCTTCATCTCATGTATGACATTGTTTAAACTCCACTGGTCATGATTCCTCACTAGAACCATGAGAATTATCTCATCAAGTTAATCACTAGTGAGTACATGTATTTTGTTAGTAACATGAAACAAAATGGTTGTTTTGTGCTCCTTGATTTTTAATGACCGTTTAAATGAAATCAGTTAGTGATATGAGATGACAAAATTCAACACTCTCCATGGAACATCTGTATTACAAACAATACGATAACATTGTTCATACCTAAATTGAGATCGAATAACCTGGATTCGATTCACGGCTATGGAGTCATGTATATACACTACTGAAGAGTAACATACTGCAACAAAACAATCATCCAATGCTTTTAGGTATTCAATAGTTATAATCAGGGAAGGGTTTTTGTTGATATTATAGTAATTTAAATAGTTGAATTCATGAATCAATTGAAGCTAGACCGACAGTTGTTTAAGTTAAATGAAACCTATTTATATTCACTTGGTTTTGTTTACTTGTATCTTCCCATTGTTATTTAGTACTGCAATTCATCAGTGAACATCAACACTGAGATTCAGATACATTCAGCTGAAGAGTCCAAAACAAGACGAAACGCGAGTCCTGGTTTCTACTACTAGCCACTATCCATCTTTACTTATGAAACCTATTTATCTTTTGCATAATATTACATAATTAACATTATGGAAAGAGGAAAAAACATTGTACGAGCATTACATGTACGTAAATAAATGGTTGCTCTGGTTGTCAGAAGGGCCTCGTGACTTCTGAAGGAACTCAGCTTTCATCATGAGGCGTACTAACTCTTGTAAATGAAGACCTATCTCCCAGGACAGAGTTTAAATGGTTTGAATTATTTTTTATGGTTAGCGTTTGTTTAGCGGGTTAGTTTTCTACGGGATGGGGTCGCTAACCCCATACCCAACCCTCCTCCTTTATCCGGGCTTGAGGCCGGCAGTAGCCCCCGGGGGAACTCCAGGCGGAGTTATAATGATTTTAAGTGAATCAAAATTATATACACACATACATTATACACACATACACACACAGACATCTAAATAGACAAAATCATTTAATCTGTATATAGATTTAAACACAAAAATGTTTCCATCTCAAAATGAATTAATTACCCACCCTGTTTATCTATCTATCTATGTATTACAGAGAATAACAACAATTTTCATCCAATCAAATATTCACAATTTTGTACTCATGACAATTTACTTCTCTTTCCTCAAATTTTTGTTGTTTGTTTGTTTGTTTGTTTTGGATATACTATCCTGTCCTACACTATCCTATCAATACGACATTACAATATACACCTATACAAAATGTATTCTCGAAATAATCATAATCATGATAGAATAAAAAATTTCTCTGCCTAACCTATAAAAACAAATAGGAAATTAATCCACCCTAGTTACTACTCAAAATTCAGATAATTTTCTTTCTTTCTTTCTTTCTTTCTTTCTTTTTTTCCTTCTTTTAAATACCCTTTCATGATAATTTTCATTTAAACCAATACACGGTTTATTTCATTAGTGACAATGTATATAAATATAATTGTTGGCAATCATGATAGAAATGAGAAAGAAAGAAAGAGACAGAGTGGGAGTGGGAGAGTAAAAGACACTTTATGGATTATCACAGTTTGTTGTGAAGAGACTGTATAATCAAAAACGGGGGTGGTGGGGTGGGGTAGATGGACTCAATGAAACTTGTGGATAACATATGTGTCTAAACATAGATTGCATTTTTTGAAAAAAAGAGATAAGAATAACATAACTGCACAATTTTTTCTTTAACACTTCAGAGATATGTCGGTAAAAAGCAACATAATGTAATATTATGTAATAGATATATATAGATATATGTAATACAGTTTATTGCCCTTAAATTGATATTATGTAATTGTTGCTAAGCATGTTTCCTAATCTTAATCAATCACAAATAGATGAACTTGATCATAATAATTCCGATGATATTCATTTATTGAATTCATCATCTTCTGTGACATTATCATCTTCTTCAATGTCATTCACTTCACCAAAGTCGACACCAACGTCGTCATCGTTGTCATCATCATCTCCTTCGTCTGTCACTTCACCAACATGTTTAACTGTATCATCAATTCATGAAATTTATCAATGTCGTTCATTTATGATACATGATATTTTAGATAAATCTAAACAGACTACTTATAATTCTACTATGCATAATAAAGATAAACTATACAAATCATATAATGAACAAATTAAAACATTTCCAATGATCAAATCAATTATAAATGATTATGAACGAAATGATAAATATAATCTGAAACGAAAACATACTAATCATAATCATGAGAATGATCATGATAAACGTGTAGTTACCACAGCAACAACAACAACAACAACAACAACCACAACAACAACAACACCATCCTTAATGACAATAAAGGAAGATTATAATTCATATATGAATGTAGATCATAAAAATTTGTCGATAAATCTTACAAAATATCAATCATATGAACAATATAAACAATCTATGAATGATACAACACAATTGATAGAAGGGAATGTAAAACAACTTTATACTGTAACAGGTAAATATTGTATCTAAGTAATAATAATAATAATAATTATTAACACCGTTGGATGCCGATCGGCTCAGTGATTTAGAGGTTAAGCGTTTGTGCGCAAGATCGATAGGTTCTGGGTTTAAATCTCACAAGGCAGGATCATGGATACCCACTACTGAGGAGTCCTACGATAGGACGAAACAGTTGTTCAGTGTTTTCAGGTTTTTCATAGTGGTTTAGCTTCAATTACTTCATGGTTTGAACTACTGAAATAGTAATAAGTATTTGTAAGGGTATGTTGATCTAATGTATATGTGTGCGTACTAAAAGGATCAGGTCAATATATCGACATTTTGTCTTATATTTCTTTTATAGTCAAGTTGAATAGAGGCTATCAATGAAATTTAACACATGTGTTTCATCCTATTTTGGACTCATCAGTTGAGTGTCACTGCTTTCAATAGTTGAGATCATGAGTCAATTGAAGCTAGATTACCATGGATAACTTCGGAGTACTTTCATAAGAATGATCCTTCGTTGTTTACTTCAACTATTTCGAAATGTTCTAGTCATACATTACATATAGGTATTTGACAGTCTAATGGTATTACCATTCTATAATCAGTAGGAAATAGAAATTATAGTATTGATATATTGATCTAGATCAGGAAGCTGACAAGATGTAGAGGTCTCAGTGATTTAATTTATAAAATTATAAAATGGAACGTCTATAGTTCCATTTTTGAAGATTGTAAAGAGATAGTATAGAGACTATAATGATATATCACGTGGTTAGCGAGTTAGTTTTCTACGGGATGGGATCGCTAACTCCATACTCAACCCTCCTCCTTTATCCGGGCTTAGGACCGGCAGTAGTCCCCGGAGGGACTCCAGGCAGAGTTAATGATACATCACATTCAAACATATTGAAATTTAATGACGATGTAAAATGAACAAAGTTTAAGTGGATTGAAATTGGAACAGTTCACTTCACATATAATGAACGAGAACAACAATGTTACTTACTTACTCACTTACTTAAGCCTATTTCTCCCTGTGGAGGAGCATAGGCTACCCATCAGTACTAACACTAATACATACAACCAAATATGACATTACAGAATCACTTAGTAAAATCTGAGAACCATACAGTAAGTAATTCATTTGCAAGATGTCAATTAATTGTCTCAGACTTCATTGTTCTTTCGTTTCCATATCAACCATTCTTTGTTCTCGTTCTCTTCGCTTCAATTTTCTCAACGTTTTGCCGATAGGCATCCCAATTCTGATTGATGACACATACTATTTATATCTGTCGACATTAGTAACACACACACACATAGGTATCCATTAAAAACATAGACAAATGAAGTAGAAATGTGCAACAGCACACATCAAACTGATTGTAGAAGTTTATAGAAAAAACGGATCGATACTGGATCGATATCAATCAATGCAGTTTATGAGCTAATGAATAACAATGGAATAGATTACGCAACTGTGTGAAAATAAGTAAACAATTCCAAAGGTTAAGTACTCGTGCACGAGACTGATAAGTTCTGGGTTCGAATCCTGCGACGCGAAATCGTGGATTCCCACTACTAAGGAGTCCCACAATAGGACGAAACGACCGTCCCGTGCTTCTAGGTTCTCCATGACAATCTAGCTTCAACTGACTCATGATCTTAACCATTAAAGTTACTATAATATCCACAAAACCTATCTGATATTAATTCCAACTGAATTAAACAAGTCAAAGACTTTGAAAGTCATCAAAATGATGCAATAAGAAGAGTATTAAAGTAGTTGGACAGTTAAATATAAATATATATTTCCTTGAATTCTAGTTAAGAGCCGTGACTAGTGGAGTTCAATCTGTGTTGGGTGTGAGACAGTTATCCAATTCAAACAATGAATGAAGGATTGTGAAAGATCATGGATCGATTGAAGTTAGACATTAACACTTTTGGATGCCGGTTTAGTAGTCTATAGGTGAAACGTTTGCTCGAGAGATCGATTGTCCTAGGTTCGAGTCCCTTTTAGAGTTGGATCATGGACGCGCACTGTTGAAGAGTCTCATATTAGGATGTTCAATCATTATTCTACATTATTAATACAACAATTATTTCAACTTAAAATTTGCTGTTCATAGAGTTAATTAGATTGATTGTTCGGAATGAATTTTAATGAGTGCAAATGAGTGTCACTTACTTATGCCTGTTCCTTCCAATCGAGCATAGGCCGCCCACCAGCATTCTTTAGTCCACTCTGTCCTGGGCATTCCTATCTAGTTCTATCCAATTGTTATTCATTCTTCCCATTTCTGTCTCCATTTCTCAGCGTAATGTGTTCTTTGGTCTTCTTCGTTTCCTTTAGCCTTGAGGATTCCATGTTAGGGCTTGTCTTATGACTCATTTGGGTGCTTTCCTCAACAAATGAATAGTAGTAATAATTTAATTTGTAATAGTTTGGAATACCTTGATTTAAGTGTTTCTGACTGATTTTTGATCAGTTTTGGTTAGTATATGTACATCCTATACGGGTTACTTTGATAAAGACATTATGTCACAAGTCTACATAGACTAGCTAGGATGCGACTAGCAGAGAAATCCAAGAGATATGGTTCGTTTTCACCAACTCCAGGATGTAGGTACATTCAGTTGATGAGTCACAGATATGACGAAACACGTTTCTTCAATATATATCAGGTACAGTATTATAGAGCTTTTTTCCTATTCACTTGGTATTGTTTGACTTGTATCTTCCCATTGAGGTTTAAGACTGCAATTGATCAGTCTGTTATTGGCATATGTGCATACTGTGCGTATGCCTCGATATTACCTTAATTCACAAGGCTATGAGGACTCAGAAGCTCAGTGGATAAGGCGATGGCGTTTGAAGCGAATGATACTGGGTTCGAGTCCCAGAGTGAACATCAACTCTGAGATGCAGGTACATCCAACTGACGAGTCCCAAATAGGACGAAACGCACGTCCTGGATTCCATTGCTAGCCACTATCCATCATTACTTACAAAAAGCTTTTTCCTATTGTTTGTAAACATTTATTCTAATACATTTGTATCTTATTCTCCTAGAAGAAATAGAGAGAGTGATGTGAATGATTGTTTATAAGGTATGAAATCTCCTTCCACTATTATATTTATGATAATGTCAAAAGATTCACCACTTAACTCATCAATAATCTTCAACATTATGCATAAACAGTTGTCTTTTGGGTTTTTCGGTAGCTTTCTAAAGTCACTAGGACCATTATTAATCCACTTTCCTTTTCAAATCTCTGAAGGAGTAGTATTCTTCCATCATTTAAATAAAGGTAAAGTGACAATTATCTTTATACCTCCGAAAGCATTTGAGATCATCTTGATATTAACAATAAGCTTTACATCTGATGAGATGAATTAGATCTAATCTAAGCAGAAATCATTCAATGAAAATGATAGAACTAGAAGTAGTTTACTGAATCCATGTTCAAACTTATCTCTACTTAATTCAGACTCACATCTTGGATTTCAATGCTAACCATCATCTATCTCTGTTTATGATTTCATATAGTGATTAAATGTCATTTTTGTAAATATTCACGCACACATACACACAATAGCATTCTTCAATCACTGGATTTAATTGGACACATGAATTCTATAGTAGTCATGGGTGGTTACCCATTAAGAAGTATAGGAAGAAGATTGGAAAACATGATGAATCACTATGATGGTATATTTTGAGATTTCCAGGGATTAAATTCATTCAAATCATTCAAATACTTATGTTTCATAGAGACAATATGAACAATGGGATAACTTGGGAATCTTTTTACAAATGAAATCAAAGCTTAAACCCATGATTACACAATTAAGAGACTATCTCAACTTAACAGTTTAATGGATAATAAGTTAAGTTTTTAAAATGAAAAGTATCAACTTTAAATTCTTAAGTGAATATCAACTTTAGAATGTGAACTTATCAAGCTGACGAGCTATGAATAGGAACAAACGGAGGATTCACCTAAAGGAGTTCGAAAACCCTCATTCCAAAACAATGATGTATATGGTTTCCAGGATCCTAAAGAAACAAATGGTGTATGAAACAATTGTTGGTGACCAGCTACCATGGGACTGCATCTCCTTAGATTGCTCCACTGCCTTGTGAATTAAACTTTTAAATGAAAGGCTCTGGATGTGGCCCCTTAGGAAAATCACCTGTTTTGGTTTGGGAACCCGGACAGTATCCCAGCCCTCACATACATTTTGAATGATTTATGTGGTGCATATCTGTTTGGTGCCTCCTTGTATCAATGTTAATGTGTTTAAATTAATAAATAAAGGAAGAAACACACATATCCTAGATTCTATTCACTGTCAGCTACAAACCATTTGTCTCTGAGCTAGATGGTTTGGTCGTGGAGCGTTCATTATTCTTCTGAACGACATCATTAGCATAAACTTTTAGGTGAAAATTCTTGAAGTTTTCGCTGATGATGTTGTACAGATGAATGGTGAAAGCTCTGCGACCAAACCATCGAGCTGGAGGAAATATAAAAAAACTCCATCAAAATCATCCACCTGAGTTATAAATCTTCTCCATCATCTCAAAGTAACAATTTTTTTTGAAAACTAAAATACCCAAAGGTTATAAAAGTGAAAAGTTTACGACTAAAATTCTATTGATAATATAATTCAATGACTGAATACTTAATCAATGATGTAAATATGTTCCATGCACGACTATAGATCCTGAGTTTGATTTCCTATGGTAGAATTGTAGATATGTACTACTGAGGAATGTCATGCTAGGACAAAATGGCTGTTCATTTCTTCTTTCTTACTATTGCTGTTCCTAGATGACAGTAGATCATGATTTGAATAGACAAGTGTTCTGAATGTTCTTAATAGTTTGTATTTAATGACCAGACACTATCACCATTGAATGCCGGCTCAGTGGTTCAGTAGGTTAAGCGTTCGCGCGCGAGACCGAAGGCTCTCTGTTCGAATCCCGCGGGTGGGATCGTGGATGCGCGCTGTTGAGGACGAAACGGCCGCCCAGTGCTTCCAGGTTTTCAATGGTCGTCTAACATCAATCGGTTCATGATCTCAATCAAAAACTTAGTAATCTCCACAACCCCTATACTAGTGACCAGAATATCTATCTACATAGTTTTGAAAGGGTCAAATAAGGTCATTATTCTATTTTGTTTTATTCAATTTAATTGATAGTAGACATGTGTTAGAATAAAGTGACACTATTTAAATTTAATTATTGTATACTTTATCACTTTTCCCCAATAGAATTATATCTTAGAAAGGGTTTTGTGGATATTATAGTAATTTTAATAGTTGACTTCATGGGTCATTTGATGTTAGACCACCGTTGGAAACCTGGAAGCACTAGAAAGCCGTTTCGTCCTGTTGTGGGATTCCTCGGCAGTGCATATCCACAATCCCATCTTCGCGGGATTCAAACCTAGGATCTATCAGTCTTGCGCACGACCGCTATATATAAATCTGGTCTTTTGTATACGACAGAAGTTGTAGAAATTTAACACCACGATCATCATCATGGTGTTTAAAAGTAGTTTATAATACTGTTAATAATTCATAGGGTAGAAAATTCTTAATAAATGATTTTCTACTAATTATTTTTGTTGATCATGAGTCAATTGAAACTAGATCACCATGGAAAACCTGGAAGCACTGGAAGGCCGTTTCGTTCTATTGTAGGACTTCTCAGCAGTGCGCATCTAGCCTCCCGGGGCTGATTGGCTTCAAGAGTTATATCCTGGAATTCTAGTGAGAAGCAGTGACCAGTGGAGTTCAACCAGGTCTGTTTTGAGATAGTAACTCATGGATGACAATGGTGGATGTGTCGCTCAATTTCGTGGATTAGTTGAAGTTAGACATTAACACCATTTGATGCCGATTCGCTGGTCTAGAGGTTAAACGCACGCGTGAGAGACTGACAGGTACTGGGTTCGAATCCCGCGAGGCGGAGTCCTGTATGCACACTGTTGAAGAGTCCGATAACAGGATGAAACGGTCGTTCAGTGCTTCCAGGTTTTCCATGGTGGTCTAGCTTCAAACGACTCATGATCTCAACCATTGAAATTAATACAATTTCCATAAAACCCCTTCTGATTATCACTTTTATTGAAGACTTTTTTGTGAAGAAAACTTTAATATGTAAATGTTGTTCTTCAAATGTTGATATTAGGTAGGACATAATTGAAAATCAGGGTATATTGGATAACTATACTAATCTAGTATGAGATTTTTCATCGGCGGGAAACTACAAAGCTATCAGAGATTGAACTCAATGGTTTTAAATGTTGAGTCACGTGTTTAACCATTACGTTACAGGGTTATTGTTCGTTTGTATAGATTTCCAGATTCCATCAACTCAGACAATTGATCAACAATCATTCATTGTCATGGATGATATCCATCGGTGAGAAGTTAATTTATGAACGGCATTTGAGTGACGCTTGAGTGACCATGAGAGTGTCCACCTAATAACTAGAACAGAATGAGTGTTATAAACAAGTATGAGAAATCACGATTATGATTTTTAGTTGATGGTTACGGTTGGGAATTTATTTATTTATTTAAACACATAAGCATTGGTACAAGGAGGCACCAAATACATATGCACTACATGGACCATTCGACTTGTGTGAGGGCTGGGATACTGCCCGGGTGTCCAGACCGAATCAGGTGGTTTTCTTAGGGGGCCACAACCCGAGATTTGGACCCAAAGGTCTAATCTACAAGGCAGTGGAGCATCGTGAGGAGATGCAGTCCCATGGTAGCCAGTGACCAACGATTGGTTCATATACTATTTGTTCCCTCAGGATACTGGAGCCCATGTGCACCATTGGTTTGGGATCCGGTTAAAGCACCGGACATTCGCTTTTCGTGCTCTCAGTTTCGTAAACAACACCCCACTGCGAGAAGGCAGTGAGTCGGACTTCCCTGGCAGAGGCTGTATACGCGTGTTTGTGTGAGAGCATTTCAAGAGGGAGGGCGGGCCCATCCCACTCTCGGCCATACCAAGGCATTTGGAGGCTAGGAATTAGATTTAGGGTTTTTATCACGAACTGACATCACCTAAAATACCAAAACTCTATTTAACCAAATGGATGAGTGAAATTTGCGCCAAAATCCAGGACGTGTTGTCTTATATGTCATTGGTTTGTTCATAAATTATAGTCTCGTCTATCCATTTCATCTTCACAACATAGTATAAACTTCATTGATCTCACCTTCTCACTAAAAACTTGATTGTTTTTCCTCGACGTTCAGGGATGTTCTAAGCAGTGGAAATGGAGAATTAACAGATTAACCTGTTGTTAGATATTTCACGTATATATTTAAGTAGTACCTAAAAACAAATCTTTACAATGAACCATATTCTTGTTTCCATGGTTGTTTTTCGTTCATTAATATTGAAGTAGAGACGAAGCTCTTGACTGATACGTTCATGAATAATGTTTATTCATAGAATTTCATAAACCACTTGAAGGGTTGTAATACAATCAGATCTATGACGCTTCTGGTATCCAAATGCGAATTTTCATTGTTACCAATTAGAGGTGAATCAAATGGTCTCATGTTGAAACGAAGACTTAAATTAGCCATCAATAGGACATTTGGTTCAGCCCAATTTGTCATTATTGAAAAGACAGGGTCTATGTTTCACCAAAACCAGCACGTACGGGATTGCGTCATATCCTATTGTGTCTATCTATTTACATGTATGTGCGGAGACAACTACATAGCAAGTAAGTGTGGAGGAACACATACCCAAATGGCTGCAGAAACAAATGAATTCCAATGGACAAATAAGATCATAGCATAGACAGATATCTTCCTCCATTGTGAAACATTTGGTCGGCGCACTGGTCATAAGGTTGATATCAAGTCAGCATTTGTAGTGCAGTACAAAAGCCTTCAACAACGTATACTAAGATTTATTGAAGCCTTGATTATACGAAAACTGAAACCCCCTTTATATGTTCAAAAACAGTTTGTCCTTACCCTGATAATACTGATTTATTATCCAGAGTGGTAACCACATTGTTACTGTGTACTTTATTTTTCCTTGTTACAGTTTACCTTGAATCGGTCTAGTTGACCTTCTAGTTTTCATATGAAAATGTCATAGCAATTACATTATGTGTAATCAGATTGTTCGAAATGTATTATGCAAATACATAACCACATGATTCTTCTGATAACCTTCGTTTACTCAATTACATCATCGAAATTTATCAAACGGGCTGAGACTGATAGGTCCTGGGTTTGAATGTCACTAGGCAGGATCATGAATATGCACTGCTGAAGAGTTCTACAATAGGACGAAATGATCATTCAGTACTTTTAGGTTTTCCATGATGATCTAACTTTCATTGACTCATACATTTAACTATTAATAATTGTTATATTCTTTAAATTAAATAGGTTTCAATGAAATTACAACGAATTCAGAGAATACTCAATTCATTCTATCAACAATAAATAGTCCAAATAGTTTAAATACAAATGATGAAAATCATAAAGATAATGAATTACAAGAAGATAATAGCGATGATGACGATGATGATGATGATGAATATTCTGAAATGAATTCAAATGGATCTTTATATTCAACGCATTCAATAGATCCATATCATAAATTAACATTCATCAAGAAAAAATCAATAATCTCATCAAAATTTGAACATTCCAATGAATTACATCGATCATATCATCCCCATTATCATGATCATGATCATGATCATGATCGTCATCATCATCATAAGGAATATGATCTTAATGATGAAATGAATAAATCAAAGAAACCCCGAAAGTCTAGAACAGCATTTACTGATTTACAATTAAATGAATTAGAGAAAATGTTTGATCATCAAAAATATTTAAGTGTACAAGATCGTATTGAATTAGCTGAACGATTACATTTAACGGATACACAAGTTAAAACATGGTATCAAAATCGAAGGTTAGTTTGTTTGATTTATATAATTTATAAATTGATATGGAATTAAAAGAGTTAGACTATCATGGAAAACCTGGAAGTACTAGACGACTGTTTCGTCCTATTATCGGACTCTTCAAAAGTAAGCACTCATGATCCCGTACATTATTGATTGAAGTTAAAGATTAACATTGTTGGATGCTGGCTCACGCGGTCGATCTTGAGACTGATAGGTCCTGTTTTGGAATCTCATGAGGCAGGATTGTACTAGGATGAAACGCCCGTTCAGTACTTTCAGGTTTTTCATAGTGGTCTAGCTCTAATTGATTTATGATGTCAAATAGTTAAATTACTATAGTATCCACAGAAACCCCTTTAAATACTAATCAGAATATGCTCACTTGTGACTAGCTTCAAGCGGTATTTTCTGGAGTTCTAGTGAGAAGGAGTGAATAGTGAAGTTCAACGGGGTCTGTTGTGAGATAGTAACTGACTGAAGACAATAGTGGATGTTGGTTTAATCTCATGGATTGGTTGGAGTTAGACATTAACATTGTCAGATACCGGCTAGCCCAATGATCTAGAGGTTAAGCGTTCGCGCGAGAGACTGATAAGTCCTGAGTTCGAATCTCGCTGCGCAAAATCATGTATAAGCACTGTTGAGGAGTCCCATACTCTCTAATAATGTTTAATTCATCCTATTACTAAATAATCAAATGATTGATCAAAAGATTGGAGTCAAATAGAAGGCAACTATCTCAATATTCTGTTTATGATACTTTTCCATTTATTGATGGTATTCATAATGGAAATACTTCTGGAATGTTTATGCTCTCGTTTAATATTAGTTCTCTGTTCATTGGTATACTATGAATTGAAACTAAATGCTACATATGATTATATCACTTTTAATAACATAAATACAGGCTTATTGACTGATCACTTGAGACAAGTATTATTACGTTGTGCTTTTAATGTTTAGACAAAGAAGTAAGATGATAATGATATTTCTATTAGGCATAATATTAGCGAGTTGTTTCATCTTTGAACTGGAAAACATTCAACTTACTTACTTACTTACTTACTTACTTACTTACTTACTTACTTACTTACTTACTTACTTACTTACTTACTTACTTACTTACTTACTTACTTACTTACTTACTTACTTACTTACTTACTTACTTACTTACTTACTTACTTACTTACTTACTTACTTACTTACTTACTTACTTACTTACTTACTTACTTACTTACTTACTTACTTACTTACTTACTTACTTACTTACTTACTTACTTACTTACTTACTTACTTACTTACTTACTTACTTACTTACTTACTTACTTACTTACTTACTTACTTACTTACTTACTTACTTACTTACTTACTTACTTACTTACTTACTTACTTACTTACTTACTTACTTACTTACTTACTTACTTACTTACTTACTTACTTACTTACTTACTTACTTACTTACTTACTTACTTACTTACTTACTTACTTACTTACTTACTTACTTACTTACTTACTTACTTACTTACTTACTTACTTACTTACTTACTTACTTACTTACTTACTTACTTACTTACTTACTTACTTACTTACTTACTTACTTACTTACTTACTTACTTACTTACTTACTTACTTACTTACTTACTTACTTACTTACTTACTTACTTACTTACTTACTTACTTACTTACTTACTTACTTACTTACTTACTTACTTACTTACTTACTTACTTACTTACTTACTTACTTACTTACTTACTTACTTACTTACTTACTTACTTACTTACTTACTTACTTACTTACTTACTTACTTACTTAGGCCTGTTGCTCCTAATGGAGCGTAGGCCACCGACCAGCATTCTGCAACCCACTCTGTCCTGGGCCTTCCTTTCCAGTTCTATCCAATTCTTGTTCATTTATCTGACATCTGTCTCCATTTCTCGGAGTAATGTGTTCTTTGGTCTTCTTCTTCTTCTTCTAGGGCCTTGAGGATTCCAAGTTAGGGCTTGCCTTGTGATGCAGTTGGGTGAATTCCTCAATGTGTGTCCTATCCACTTCCAGTGCCTCTTCCTGATTTCCTCAGCTAGAATCTGGTTTGTTCTCTCCCATTGTAGGTTGTTACTAGTAGTGTCTGACCAACGGGTCCGATGTATTTTGCGTAGACAACTGTTAATAAACACCCGCATCTTCTTGATGATGGCTTTCGTAGTTGTTCAAGTTTCCACCCCATACAATAGAACTGTCTTGACATTTGTATTGAAAATCCTGACCTTGGTGTTGGTTGACAGACATTTGTTTTGAGCTCCAGATGTCCTTCAGTTGTAAATATGCTGCTCTTGCTTTACCGATCCGCGATTTCACATCTGCATCAGATCCACCATTTTCATCAATGATGCTCCCAAATGTGTAAAAACATTCAACTTAGTCTATACAAAAGATATGTAAGTAATAGAATTGATGAATCAACTGACATCTATTCCTATATTTCATGTTAACAAATGAAATAGATCATTCTATTTCATTTCTTGATATGCTTCCGACAAGTAAGAATGATAGATCCTTAAAAAGGTCTATTTACAGAAAACAATTATGGAACGACTAATTGACCAACGTTGATCACTGATGAGTTTGACTAGTATTCGAATCTCACGAGGCGAGTTCGTGGATGCACACTGTTGAGAAATCTGACAATAAGACGAAACGGCCGTCCAGTACTTCCAGGTTTTCCATAGTGGTCTAGTTTCAGTTGACTCATGTTCTCAATTATTGAAATTAATATTTAATTTGTTCAGAAATACGGATACATCTTGACAGAGTTCTTTGGTAAAATGTAACAACCATACATAAAAATATGCAATTTACAAATCTTCCATCAGTTGTTATTGATATCCTTGATGATTCTTTCATTTCTTAATTGTGTCATGCTTCCCTTACTGTTTTTTTGACTTCAGTTCAATCTTCTTTTGACAGGCATTCCATATACGATTGATGTTACATACTACTTATATCTGATGATATAAGTAGCGTACACTACATATATACTAATATTACATTTTATAAAAAGCCGCCAATTGTATTAGATTGAATATCTAGATAGATAAATTTTAGATGACACAGTTTTATGGACTTTATCTTTTAATCACCGATTAGCTACATATACGGTACCGCTGAAAATCAGGGAACATTAGACAATTGTTTAGCCGAAGTATGGTACTCCTTAGTGTAGTGTGCATCCAAGACCCTATCACTAGGGGATGAATCTAAGATCGTCAGTGTCACGCGTAAACACTTAAAATACAATTTACTGATTCAGGATACAATGGTATACAAATCTAACTTCACTCGACCTGTGGATGGGTAGTTTATAGGGAAATATTAATCCAATTGGATTACAGTTCAATAGTTTAGAGGTTCAACTTTCATGTTTGACTCTTGATTTCAGCATTGTGAATGTACACTTTCGAGATGTCTTGCATTAGAACAAAAGAACTATCCAATGCTTTCATATATTCAATGGCCTGTCAAACAATCACTTGATGTTGTTTAAGGTGTATCTTCCCATTTTTATTTAGGACTAAAATCGATCACTCTCATGTTGGCATATGTGCATTCTGTGTGGACTGCCTCGATATAGCCCTAAGTTATAAGCTTAATAAGAAAAGATGGATTTATAACTTCACCCCATTGCTGGCTATAAAGACTCAACAGCTAAGTGGATAATGCGATCATATTTGAAGCGAGTGGTATTGGGTTCGATTCCCCAAGTGAACATCAACTCTGTGGTGCAGGTACATCCAGATGAAGAGTCCCAACCAGGACGAAACATGTGTCCTATATTCCAATGCTAGTCACTATACATCATATATAATATTTTAAATTTACTCAAATGATGTATAGTTTTACATTATACCTTCAGTTTTCTTTGTAATTATAGAACAAAATGGAAACGTCAAACTGCTGTCGGTTTTGAATTACTCGCTGAAGCTGGTAATTTTGTAGCAGTTCAACGTATTTTACAAACGAATCCATATTGGGCATATCATCCAGCAGCACAAACTATTCTAGCTAATATGGAAGCAATAATGAAGAAGAAAACTGATTTCAATATTACTGATGAATTAAAACAAACCAATCATAATGATAGTAAAATGAATTATTTTAAACAAATGAATCATAATGAACATAATAATATCAATACTACTAATACTACTAATATTAGTAGTAGTCCTACTACCACTACTACTAACACTACTACTATTACTACTAATACTACTTATAATCATCATTCAAGATTAAATGATCAAGATTCACTTTCTTTTAAATCGATTGAATTCAATCATCAAATACCATCTTCATCCTCATCTTCATTATTATTCCAATCAAATGATCTTAATCATCAATTAGAAAATTGTTCAAAACTAAATTCATCAATGAAATTACCAATCACTATAGGAACTTCTACTTTCCCATTAAGAACTACTACAATAGATCATCAATTGAATACTACTACAACGACTGCTACGATAACGACTACTACGACGACGACTACAAATGCAGTAGATAGTACATCAGTAGCGGAACTTCCAGATTGGTGGCCTTTTAAATCAACCATAAAAGATTTAATACAATATCAAAATACATTATCTTCTTCTTCAACTATTACCACTCCTACTACTACTCCGACTACTTCTGCTATCTCAACATTATCCTATTGTCCTATAGTGAATTCATCTCTCATAGATACAACTAAATTATTACAATTGGATTTACCAATGAATTCAACAATATCATCATTCAATATACAACCTTATACATCAATGAATCTATGGTCAACATTCAATACAAATGATCTATTATCTATTACACAAAATATACCATTATTTAATAATTTATTACGTCATCATTGTATCATAACAAAAGATTAATAATAGTACGTCATGATGATACATTGATTGTTTCCTTGATAGAATATTGATTATTGATTTATTGGGTTTCGTTTTTGGACGAAGTTTTATTCTTTGAATACAAACATTCAGGTCGGAATCTTGATCATTATACTAATGAGAATGTTGTTTAGTAGAACAATGAACGGATCATTGATACAAACCATCTAGCTCAGAGGACAACAACAACAACAGAAAAGAAAGAACTCTATCAAAATGATCCATTTGAGCTATAAATCTTCTTCATCATCTTAGAATTATTCTTTAAATGAATGAACGAGTGAGAACTTTCCGCCCTCCTCCCACCCCCAAAACACACACACACACATCATAATCCAATTGTATGTGCAAATCTATAAGAGTGAAGTGTAAATTAACTTTTCCACTATTATTATTATTATCCTTATTATTAATCAATAATATTGTTGCCATGACTTGTCTTGATCTCGGTTTAATTTACTTTAGTTACTATGTTCAATTCATTATATATTCGTTTAATTTGTAAAAAAAATTACTTTTATTGCTTTTTTTCTTTTTCTTTATTTTTCTTTCTTTTTATTTTGTTTTATTCTTTATTAAATTTATCTCTTAATTTTTTGTTGAAAATTGAATAAAATATAGTTTAATTTTTGAGTGACGACAATTACCGATACTACTAATAAAACTCTCCCTCCTTCTCCTGCTCTGCCTGCTACTCCTCCTCCTCCTCCTCCTCCTACTACTACTACTACTACTACTGTAGTGAACAAGAACACGAGTGAGGACAGTCGAATGCACGATCCCTCTCGCGGGGTTCGAATGCAATTATCAGTATAAGGGTTATGGAGATTATTAAGTTTTTGCTGGTATTTACCATATACTGACTAGTGACTAACTTCACAAGGGAATTCTCGGAGTTCTAGTGAGAAGCAGTGATCAATGGATCTAATCCGTGTCGGGTAGAGACAGGTATCTACCTCAGTACAATGGAAGATGGTCGCACAAGTTCGTGAATTGACTGAAGTTAGACATTAACACCATTGGATACTGGCTCAGTGGTCTAGTAGGTTAAGCGTTCGCGCACAAGACTGAAGGCCTTGGGTTCGAATCCCGCATGTGAGGTTGCTAAGGAGTCCCACACTAGAACGAAATGGCTGTCCAGTGCTTTCAGGTTTCCAACGGTGGTCTAACATCAGTCTGTTCATGATCTCAATCCAAAACGATCGATTGAATTGAGGAATTTTTTTATTTTATTAAATTGATAGGGTATATGTTTAATTAATGGAAGGAAACAATTATAAAGATGATTAATATTTGTAACATTCAGCTCATCTCTGGTTAATATTCACGAGAATAATACTTAGTGATTAGTTACTGTGAATATATCAGTTATATGAAAGATCAATGACTGGTTGAATAACCCTGTATTGATATCTTACAATATGAAATTGAATCGCTTGGATTTCAATTCTCTATGTACAAGTACTGGTTCCTTGAAGGTTCCAAGTATACTTTAATGAATAGTGCCAGATAGTATACAATCTATGTTTATTAGGATTTTCTGTTGACTATTTTCAACTATCTATCTGACGATCCGTTGAAGTAGAATTTTATTACAGATTTAAATTATCTGAGAAGTACTTGGTTCATTGCTTTAGTAAAAGGTTCGCTATCAATCTACACTTGTAATATTCATCTGTGATAAACACTAAGTCAATCATTATTAAAGTACAGTCTGGGATTGATAAAGATTGGCCTAATCTATCATATCAGTGTACCACAACTATGAGATGAAATTAACACTGTGACCAGTAAACGAGTGGTAAACAATGTCGTAGCAATCATAAGAAGAAGAAGAAGGACTGGACAATGAGTATATGTTTCAAAGAAAAATAAAATGGAATAGAAAGGTATGTATGAATAAATACTGAACTGTTGAACTATGTGATCATAACTAAAAGACAAACTAATTTGAAGTAAAATCTACAAATCTCTCAGAACCGAGGATGAATTGTTTACCTTAGAGATAATTTTCAAAACTTCCAGCGACAACTTATATATCGAAGATTTAAGATAAGAAAGCACTGGATGGCCGTTTCGTCCTATTGTGTGACTTCTCAGCAGTGTGCATCCATGATCTCATCTCGTGAGATTCGAACCCAGGATCTATCAGTTTCGTGCACGAACACTTAACCTTTAAATCTACTGGGCCGGTATTCAATGGTGTTAATGTCTATTTTCAACCACTTCAGTGCTTCTAGGTTCTCCATGATAGTCTAGACTCGATGGACTCATGAATATAACTATTAAATTACTAAAGTCTCCACAACCCTCCCCTCTAATTAATTTAATTTGAAAATATGAGGTATTAGATAGTGATTTGAAATGTAAAACAATCACTTGAAATTCTGAAACTCTTTCATTTAGTCCTTGGATAAGTTATGGATGTTAATTGTTGAAAATCACCATCTTGAAATGAAGTACTCGTCTAGTACTTTCCAGTTATCCTATAATATCCTAGATTATATTATTCTAATAGAAAATCTAATTTTTATTTCGTTATAAATAACCAATGGAATCTAAGATGTATGTTTCGTCCTAATTGGGACTCATCAGTTTGATTCACTTGAATTCTTATTTCTTTAAACACCAATGTGTCAGGATGAAATGCAATTCTTGGATTCCATTGTTCACAACAAATCCACTTCAGAATGTATTTATTATTAACAGAGATTGGTCAGTTGAAATGCAATTACAACATAGTAACTATGTGTGTGTGTGTGTGTGGGGGGCTACAAAGTTTTCTTCATGAACTTATCAAACAAACTGTTCAAGATGACACGACAGTTCATGCTAATTTTATTAGGTTAACATCAAATACTGATTATAAGCAAAGATGGTTAGTGGATAGGAGTGGAATCCAGGACTCGCTTTTCGTCTTATTTGGACGATGTATCTGCACCTGAGAGTTGATGTTCACTCTGGGACTCGAAGATACATGTAAAGAACACCAAGTGAATACTGATTATAACCTGTAATATTTCAAAGGATAGAAATGAAAATGCTTACAGAAATGAATATAGCTATGAATTAGTTAAAATATGTATCGTCATAGTTAGTACAAGTGTAAAACATTGAAAATATGTATTTTCTACGAAAGAATATTCTGGAACATTGATAGCAGTGATTGATTAAAGGACAAGAAATAAGTGGTTATATAATTAGGTTTCAGTCAAATAGAGTAGAACTTTGCCGTTGTGAGATTTCATATTATCGGTCTAGGGTTGTGGAGATTATTGAATCGATTCAAGTACGATAACCACTGAAAGTTTGAGTCTTGGGTTTGGTTCTCGGTTCCAGGACCATAGATGAACACTACCGAGTAATTCCATACCAGAAGAGAACAGCTGTTTAGTGCTTCTCGGTTGTCAATGATTTGTTTAGTTATTTGAACACATAAACAGGCATGAAATAGATATGCTCCACATAAATCATTCAATTTATGTGAAGGCCGGGATACTGTCCGGGTTCCTACGTGAACTATCCGGACTAGTTGTGTTTTTATTTATTTATTTGTTCGAACACATAGATATTGGTACAAAAGAGGACCAGATACATTATGCGCCACACAAATCTCATTTGATTTGTGTACGGGATGTAATACTGCCCGGTTGCCCAAACCGAAGCAGGTGGTTTTCTTAGGGGGCCACAACTGGAGCTCTTGACTTGAAGGTCTAATCCACAAGGCAGTAGAGTAACGTAAGGAGATGGAGTCTCATGGTAGCTGGTGACCAATAATTAGTTCATACACCATTTATTCTTTCAGGATCCTGAAGATCATATGTACTGTTGGTTTGGAATCAGGATTTTCCAACTCACCTAGGTGGACTCTCCGTGTCCATTAAACCGGTTAAAATACCGGGCATTCGCTTTTCGTCCTTTGAATTACGTAAACAACACTCGTGGTGCGAGAAAGCAGTGAGTAGGACTTCTCTGGTGGTGGCTTTTATACGCGTGACCATGTGAGAACATTTAATAAGGAGAGCTGACTCTCCCCATTTTCGGTCGTACCAGAGCACTTGAAGGAAAAACGATGGTTACAGTGGTAATTCAATAGTCAAGATGTTCAACGTTTAGCTAATAAGTCACAGATATAAATCTCACTTTTCAATTACCTTCAGTATAGATAAACTCAAGTTATATACATTCAGAATAAGAGACTGATCAATTACAATCCTAAACATTCATAGAAAGATTCAAACAAACAATACGAAATGAATAAAACTTCATCTTATTACATTTGAAGTTCACAGTATTTAGTTCGAGTCCCAAAATGAACATTAACTCTAGAATACGCATGTATATTTAGCTGATGAGTCCTCCAAACCCCTAATCCCCCCCAGAAAAAAAACTACGCATTCTGGATTCTTTGTACACATTCAAGTTGAAAATTTTATCAAATCAAAAAATCACCTTGTTTTTTTTCCTCTTCTGTAAGGAAAAAAAGCCCCAATTTATCTAAATTCAATAATTAATATGCCTTTAAACATATGGACAAACATACTACTGATTAATTTATTAGATAAGTAGTCATTTATTCATTAATGTTGAGTAAACTTTTTAAGAAAAAAAAATTAGACAAAATTTTACTAGGGAAACATAGCGCACGCGTGCGTGCGTGTGTGTGTGTGTAAGAGGGAGAGGGGGGTTGAGGATGAGATTGGGAACGAGAGAGAAAGGGTGAAAAAAAGTGGCACAACACAGGAAATCAACGATATAACTTCCTTGTTGTTGTTTTTCTTATTTTTTTTCAAAAAAAAGAGAAAAAAATTCTAATCTACTTTCTTGTTTTATCTTAGACTATTAATACTACTAATAATACTACTATTAACAATAATCATAATCATAAGAAGAAATAATGACATCAATTAATTTCTGCTATCGGTATCTCTATACTACTTATTTATTTAATATAATCGTTTAATAGAAAACACTAATCTTTTTTTTGGAAAAGTCAAATAAAAAAAGGATATGAAAGTGATTGTTCTAAAATAAATCTCTTGAATTGTTCATGTTTACTGTTGGGCGTCAATCATTTCATGAGGTGTGTGTGTGTGTG